TATAATAATAAAAAATAATAATATTTATTAAAATTCATTAGAAAAATAAAATTATTACTCAATTTATATATTTATGTTTAATGTAGTCATATGTTATAAGTCAAAAAAATATTATAATATAACATAGGTAAGTCGCACAAATAAAAAAATGTCATACTAAATATATAATAATATATATTTTATAAAAGGTATTGAAATTTTCAAGTACTTTTTTTCATAAATTTTAGATTTTAAGAAAAAATTAGCAAATACTCGTGTAATACACGGACGTTGTAATAGTGATTCACTAAATCTCTTATAAAGGCGAAGCTTAACGAAGGCCGGTGGTCTACCAGTTGGCTAATTCCTAACTATTTTATGCATTCCGAAATTTACCTATAGGAAATTAATTGTCAATTTTTTTTCTCCCAAAATTTGTTTTTTATATGTTTTACCTTGTGTTCTTTATCATTATTCAAATAGCATTGACACCGACGCACGAATTATGGAATAAAAATATTTTATTATTTAAATATTATTAAATATTTTTAAATTATTTAAGATAATTTACAATTTTACTCAAAAGAATATTCAATTATGTAATAATATGAAACTTATTATGGGAAAAGAAGAAAAAATTATATGAAATTTATTTATTTAATATTGTTATCTTTTATCTATCTTTTATTTAGGTCATACCACTACCAGAAAATGATGAAATTCCAACAGAAATATATTCTAATATAATTATTCCAACAACAATTTCAATGGATATTTCAATGTTATTATTTTTATTGGAATTTTTCAACGGATTCCAATGGAAGTTCCAACAAAAATATTCCGTTGGAATAGGTTTTCCATTGGAAGTTTCGTTGGATTTTGACGATTCCAACGGTGAATTTTTCAATGGGGGTGAAAATAAAAATTTCAATGGAAATTGCATATTGCAATGGAAATTTCTTTGTTTTGCATAACTTCATTTATGGGAAAAATAATTTTTATAATAAATATTTTTTTATGATAAAAAGAAAAAAAAAAAAAAAATCTGACATTCAAGTATAAATAGATATAGATGAAAATTACAATAGTGTTGTACACTCCCACAATAAATATCCGTCTTTCAAGTATGAACAGGATCTCCATTTCGCAATTTTCACTGCATAGAAGTGAAGTGTAGGGAAAATGTTTAAGGGTGTGTTTGAAAAGGGATAAATTCAATCAAATTAACTCAACGTGAGTTTTTTTTAGTTAACTATGGTTAATTTAGAACGATGAATACCTTGTATAACTGACACCCTTATATTCTGAGCTTGCACCTCAAGAGTCAAGAATCCAGCTCCAGCCTTGGCACGACCGCCGATGATAACTCAATATGAGAGACTCTCACCGCACCTATTAGCCTCTCGGGCAACTCTTCCGTGGTGTTCGCCTAAACATTGCATCAAAATTTACATCATTTTAATTATAAGAAACAAAATAAACCAAATCCGAAATCAACCTCTGACCCCGCGCAGTGCATATGCAAGTGCACCACATGCATCTAACCGTACATTTTTTTAAATAAAGTTGGTTGTGTTTTTTGATCGGTAACAAATGAATACCATAAAATTTCTTGAAATGCAGGGAACTCTTTTTATGGAAGCTCTTGTTAGTCACCATTAGAAATTGCACAAATTTGAAACTAAACCCAATTGCGTTATGTGCTTTTATTGCTTCCGCAAGCATTTTTCCAAATTAATGTTATTTCAAATCTATCGACATTGAGACTGGTGATGTGGGCTTTGAAACTTTAGATGATTAAAAGTTTTATTATCTCTCGATTGTTGTTCAAGCAAGATATAGTTTTAAGTAGTGCCCGGGAAGAGTTTAAAGTGTAAAATGTTTTTTTTATTTTTTATTTTTAAGAAGTTCAAATTATTTCTGAAAAACTCAGTCTTTTCTAAAGAAAAGTAAGCGGGTGCTACAGTGTGGTATTCACTCTGAGGTGCCTATGAGGCGATTGAGACATTACATTAAAAAACCGTTGGTTGAGGTCTGAATACCTGTACAAGAAAGGCCATGTCAACCACGAGTGTCGTGATAACGCCAATTACAAGGCCCAATACTCCATTAGCCACAGTGGAAGAGCCAATATCAACGTCAATCTACACAAAACACCCGCCAAATGAGAGAGGATCTCAGTCAAAAATCAAAATAATTAGATGGAGATAGGAAGTGTGGTTTATATATATATCCTACTTCCAAGTACTTGGGACCACGGATATAATTGCAGTCAACTGCCTTCCCTAGTATACAAGGGGTGCTCCCAACACTCTGACGAACAATCCAAGAGCCCTACATGACGAATAAAATATCAAATGTGAAACTTCATCACAAAGAAACAGCTGAAACTTAAAAAGATTCAAATCTCAGTAGTCTGAGACAAAATTCTTAAATGTTAGGATATGCCAACACTAAAAGGTGAAAATTTTATAACTAAAGGACATAATAGTAACGGCACAAAATTCCTTCTCTAAATAACTCTAAAAGCAAATAGAAAGTCAATACATCTTTTCGTATTGACTTGCACTACAACTGAATCATCACACCAAGCAAAGCAGTTATTTCCCAGGAACTCAGAGCCACCTTTTTCTTTTTCCTGAATCTTTAAGGCTTTTATGGTGACTCAACTTCAATCAAAGTGCTTTCTAATTACCAAAAATAAGGCAATGGTATTCATTTACTTTAACAAAAGAAGAGAACATATGATATTCCTCATATTATCTGTGTATAAAATAATACAAACTATCTGTGCACATAAAATACATATACGGATTCAATTGATGGTATACTTCAGGTAATTGTTGCAAAATCTGTCACTAGCTGACTCGCAGCAAGAATATTTGTACCCACTGGAATTAATTTCTACACATTTGTTCATCAATAGAATCAGTAAGCTCCACATAGTTCGCTACAGCTCTATTACAAAGGAGCAAAACATGAAGTAGAATACCTTAGGAACTGATGGAATAAGCTTCAGTCTACTATTGCGGAACTCGTCATCTCCATCAACAAACCTCTGCAAGAGAGATCCTGGTAATAACTCCTTTGTAACAAAATAAAACACCATGCTGTAGTGGGTCGATCCCGGGACCTAGAAGAGTGAAAATGTGTAAATCTTCATACTGCCAGATAGGATAACTAGAACAGGAACCAGCCACATTCATCAACTCACTTGCAGATTAAAGACAATAGAGAAAAGCCCTTTATCTGATGCAACCTGAAGTTGAGGAAGCACAGTGTCACTTGCTATAACTAGGAGTTACCATGAAGCAACTAAAATTTTACCAAAATTCAAATGCGCAATTTAGGAAAATACTGAATGTCCAAGTGAAAACTTACCTGTGCTGCACAACCACTGCGTCTGGCGACATGGTCCATCCTTTTCGTGTCTTTGAACCAGTCCACAGCAACAAGATCCATAAGATGTTTGCCTGCAGGAATCTTCAAAAATATGTCGCGAAAGTTCCATGAGATTAACCCAGGCCAATTTTTGCTGTCCAAGGCGTAACCAGAAAGTCTCCACACGAAGCCACGAAACTATTACTTTACCTTTGATTTGTCATAACAAAATCGCTTGCTACGAACTCTGAAGTTGCTCCCGTCAGATATAGTCCAGCAGTTGCGAGCCTTATCGCGGTCATCATGATGAAGGTTACCGGCAAAATTGGATAAGTCTATCTGGTCCACAGGTTCTTCTTCAAAAGCTTCAATATTCGTGATAAAATTGAATAAATGGAGTTAAAAAGATTGCATAGATGTGCACCAAAACATTAACTTTCGGTATTTACCAACTCTTTTGTCTTCAACCTCAATGGCAGACTCCAAATCCTGTATATCCTTAAACGAAAAGATGACACAAATTAGAAAATATCAAAACATTAAGTACTTAAACCAGAAAGATATTGTAAATAGATTAAGCAAGGACATACCTCTTCTGCATCTTGAAGGTCTTCATCTTCATCCGAGTCCTCATCCATCAGTACAGCATTTCTATTGGCAGCACTTATCTGATCGAGTGATGCACTGCGATGATGAATGGAAGACGACTGGAGTTTCTGACTCCTCTTTGAAGAAGTCGACAATGATGTCATATTGACCATAACAGGGATCCGCGGGGGCGCTGTCCTCTCATCAGTTTGAGAGAAATACTCTCGCAAACCTGTGACGTTAGAAATTTGGATTATCACTCTACCCAAGAGAACGAAAAGTGACTTCCGATTTTAGATTTTGGTTGCAACTTAATGATTTTCATGGAAAATGATCCACATGGAAACAAGAGCTTAAAATCAATAACCTGCTCGCTTCTGGCCTCGAAAACCACATGAAAACTTATACTAAAAGCTAAAACTCATAGTTTTTAATTACACACGACATGGACTATAATGGGGAAATTATAAACCATGTTAAGGAAACA